AGCCATTATTAGTCTCAAAGTGGGTTCCTCGTCATCGAATTTGAATCCCAAAACATAATTCACAATGGAAACAGATACTTTCATTCCTTGGCATGATGGTTACCAAGATACCCAACTCATAAACCACAAGTTTAGAGGAAACCCACAGATACTGGTAAATACCTTGAATACAAATAAAACCACTATAATAATGTAAAGACAGCATCATACTGCCTAGTTTTCAGACATGTAATACTGAAGGAACTAAGAAGAAGGAAAGAAAATAGATCATTACAGCCTCCATTAACAATGAATACCCAAAAATAAACACCACAAATAAAGAGGAAGAAAATTACAGACACATTCCCCTGTGAGAAAGCTCTCTGAAAATATACAGAAGATATGTAAACAGCATAAACTTAACAGAATTCAGAAGCCAGAAACCAATACAACTGCAGTTAGTACACACCGAATTATCTAACGATCCAATGGAGAAGAAAAACATGATTTACTAAATCCACTGCATATGTGGATTCCCCCCAAAAAAAACTGAAAAAAAGAAAAAGACCAACAAAAGTTTAAATTCAGGAGCATACTAAGACATACAAGGCTTAGTAATACTGATCTATCTGCAATAACCAGAGACCATAGGATAAATTAAATAATACTAAAATAACATTTTAAGAAAAACAAAATCTGGATACCTCTCTTGAAAATAATCAAATAATTAGTTGATTCAAGTTTTAATAGGGGAGACTCTTGTTCAGTGGATATTGTATGATACTTTCAAGAAGACGACCCAGAATCAAATGGTAGCCACTACCAACACATTAAGACTTTCTCATGACTTCCCTGAAAATAGCACCAGATTAGCTGCCTAAACATATTATATAAACTAGTTAGCATCAGAGAAAAAACTCAATCACCTGAGCACATTTGAAAAGTGGACTTTCCTTCACCAGGGGTGAATGTCAAACGACCATCAGTTAAGTATTCACCGTTCCGAAAGCACGACATCAGGCATATCTAAACAGCATTGTATGTGAATTTGTGTAATTGATGGGAAACAAAGAGAAATAGTTTTGAAGTAAAAAAGGTTTATAAGAAGTAATATCCAGAGAAACAGAGATTTACCAACAAAAGTGCTCAAAGATACAGATTATGGAAGAAAAATATCAATAACAAATTAGAAGAAATGAAATAATATTTTATTATATATATATACACACACACACACACAAAATACATATTAAGTAGAAAGTATAACACAGAGATAAAAAAAAATTTAAACAAGTAACAAGAGTTAAAACATTTTTTAATCCACGAAATAGGAATTCATTTCAAATTACAATTTTCTAATATTTTCCAAAAGAACTGAATCAAATGACAAAGATAATTAATACCAGGGGTCAAGTTTCAAACCATATAGGGTGACAGTTTAAAATACTGATCCAGTAGTCCTCTTACTTCTTTGTCAGCTTTTGACCTAAACCAGGTTTAAATACATGTGTGAACCACATGAATAATGGAGCAGTCAGGCTGGTCAACAAATTGGGCAACAGGAAGGTATTTTTTAGTTTTGACAGAGGAATTGCAAACCATTCTTTATGGTAGTCTGCATTTGTCCAACATACTGATGGTTGCATTTTTTTTTCACTGAATAAGATATTTCATGTTTTGAGTCTGACAAGAAACTGATTTTGTTATATCATAATGGTTTTTATAAACTTACAAGTCTGTCATTAAACTTTATTACAAGGAGAACAGCCATTCTGCAGCACAGTATAAATGATTTTTGCATGAATAAGGATATCTTTAAGGCTTTTATTTGTTTGTTTTATTCTAGAGAGAAACAATAGATATTTTAAGGAAGATTTACTTAAAACAAAATCACTGAGCTGTAGAAGGTGGGAATGAGTTTAAGGATTTATGAAGCATTTTTGAGTGCTAATCAGAGGAACTACATTACACTGCTTGGGATCAGACTAGATGAGGGCAACAACACTTGAGATTTTGTCAGCTTTTCAATTTGTTTTGTAATCATTACTGTTAGTACAGATCTTTTTTCATGCAAAAGATTTGACTATAAGTAATGTTTTGTTTTTTTAATATGAGCAACACAAGTGCTCCAGTAGTGGAGATACATAGCATGGCCTAGGTTTTTTTGTAGAAGTCAGTATGTATAAATCTATCTTTTAATCATACAGTGATAAAGAAAATGTATTTACATCAACTACTGTTGGAACAAGAAGTTTATACGGAAACAAGTTTCAACATTTTTATGCGTCCTCTTCAGTCCAACTTTTTCTTGCAAGAGAAATATGTAGTTTATTTTATAATGGTCATTCCAAGTTGAGGGCTTATGACATCAGTAAGGGGTTCAGTTTAGTGACCTTCTGATATGTTGAAGTTTGGCAATTTTTGAACTAATGAACTTTCTACAGTTCTTGTTTCCATATAAACTACAACAGTGGATGTAAACTTTATTTTATATTACTCTACATGGTATTGCGTATTTATTTGCTACTCACACATGAAGTTTAATGATTGATGGAAAGAGTTTGCATGTGAAAAAAAAATAACCAAATGAAAAATGTCATCAATGTATTTTTTCCATAAATGTGATTTGTCAGAACTTTTACTCTAGAATTTGATTTTGAATCAAAGGTGTCTGCACAGTTGGGGATCATTTTAACACACACACGATAGTCCCACTGATTTGAATGTAATATTAATTGTTGAATGCAAAATTATGTAGAGTTAAAACAAGCGTAATGAAACCAATTGCTTTATTTAATTCAAAGTTGTTGAAAACATTTAAAGCAGTTTTAAAAAGCTTCTAAACCTTCACCATGCAAAATTTTAGTGCAAGGAAATTAGGAATATCTTTGATATATGAAGGAATAACTTCTGTGGTGATCAACATGAGCATATAATTTTTCAGGTGTTACATTAGTGTTAGAAATGATAAGATGAATAAGGCTGTAGAGTTTATGGACTTTGTGGGGTAAAGTAAAACCTACCTGAGTAGGCTTGTTTGGGTGTTAAATATTAAAAAATATTTTTATGTAGAGTTATATACAGACTTTTCTCTACATTAAAATAATTTTAATTGCGAGCTTTTGACTTCTTACTGGAGCCTTTATTGGGCAACAATGTAAATTTTTGCCCAATGAATGCTCCAGTAAGAGGGCCAAAAGCTTGCTAATAAAAGTACTTTAACATAGAGAAAACTCCATATATAATTCTACATATTAATTTACCTACATTATGAGTCTCAAAAAACAAAACTATTTTTATTAGTTTTGTTGGCCTTAAGGAACTGTTTTCATATGTCATTAATAGTTTTTTGTAAACTTGGTAATTGGGGCACAACTCATAACTTCGTAAGTAAGTTTGTCGTGAAAAGTCGCATCACTGAATTGTTGGACAAGTTTCAGTGATGTAGTCATAATTCTCTTTTTTTATCTTGACACTCAATCACTTTTTTTTTTACAAAAATTTGGAGTCAACACATTCAAAATCAAGCCAAACTCAAATTTTTAAGCTTATGACATTTAATTACATTTAAGGATAAACTTCATTCATAAGAAACAATCTATTTAATGTGCAGCAATATTAATGCTAACAAAAAATTATAGATTAATGTTATACTATTTAACTCATTGGCTAAAAATATTATCTTGAAACAATGATACATCTACATAAATGTATACAAGCTCCAAAAAACATAAGCAAAAAGTGTGACTGGTTGGGTTGGGGATTTACATTAAAGCTTGTAACATCATCAGAGCAATTCCTCAATCTTAACCCAACACTGACATATAATAAAAATTATTTACTTGGGTCTTTATCTTTAAGTTCAATATTCTATTTATTCAGTAAGTTAACTCTTTTCTTTCAAATCAAGTTCTCTCTTACAAGTAAACTATCACTGGAAAAAAATACATTTTTTAACTATTACATTGTATATCACTACTATTTTAATGACAGATGTTTTAATATTTTTGTAAACTTTTTTTTTTACATTTTGTTTTTACTACCTATTGTACCAGCCTTATGATGGAAACATTTTATTTTTTTATTGAGTGTCAAACATTAATTTCAAATTTTACCTTCTTTTATGTAAAGCTTGTACAATTTCCAAAGGGCGCTCTGGGCTTTCATATATTTGAAAGATTTTGAAAAAAATTGTGTTCATTCACTGTTTGATATTTAATTTCTAGAATTCTAGAATAATATAATGTAAAGTAAAGTCATTTTTGTGTACAAAAACTTGATTTTTTTTGCATCATGCTTTGCTTGGTGAAACATTTACTCTTTCCTTTCTGTTTAATAGTTATACATTACACTATCTTTTATTCCTTTATCTTCCTTAGGCACTCGGAATACTGAGCAGTCACCATGAGTCCAGCTAATTAAATATGATTTTACTTAGAGAGATTAGAATGCATTGTTTCATCAGCTGGGTATCCTCACTGTTAATAACAATTTTGGCCATAAAATCCAACAGTCACAGGAACTTAAGCCAGCATAGTAAATTTAAGTTAATTCTAAATACAAGTATTAAGCTAACAATGTAAAACAATCTATAATAAATGTATAAAAATGAAAAATAAAATTAGGTATATTCAACATTTTAATAAATACTGTAAATGAAAGTAACAATAAAGAAATAAATGAGTAAACTTTAGGCTTTGACCATTACAATGTCTGTCATATCAAAGCCAGCCTGAGGAGCCCTGGTATTGGATGAAAGGCCTTGTCAGCACTGATTATAGTAGATGTAGTATGGTTGACAGAATTACTTACAAAATACACAAGCACTGTTGTAGATTTAATATTTGTTGAACATGTAATGTCGGTATAACTGCATATAAGCCAAACTTTCCACAATCGTCCCTAAAAACATCTTGTCACCAATCAAAACTTATTAAAAAGTTCCAACAGTGTATTGTTAAGGTATTGAGTCATTACCAGGAGTACAGGCAAAACTAATGTTAATGAAAATACAAGATTGAATACCTGAATCATACAATAAACAACTAGATTATTGGTTCTGTAATTAAAATATAATAATGTTAAATGTAACTCAAAGAAAACTATATGTTACACATACTACGAGGTGTGTCTTGGCACAACTATACAAACATATGTCACTTAAAACACGTGAGACAGGCTACAGGAAGTAATAAATACAGTTAAATCTTTTGCAAGTTCAAAATGTAAATGCAATAAGTCTCGAGGACGTTCACAAATAATAAGACTTTGAAAGAAATGTTACAAAAAAAACATGTCATATAAAGTAATTAGCAGTAGCTAATCATGTAATGCCTTACTGTATACAGAACCATTATGTAGCTAGAAACAACTATACATTATAACAACTTACACTTGCAGGAAGTAAATACCAATAGTAGTTAATATATTAAAGTAATTCAATATTTATTACCCTACACAATTTCCAAAAGAATGAAAGAGTAGATTGAAAGCTGTAAATACTGTAAAACTTCTAAACCACAAAAAGTAGCAAGAATATAGTTGAATTTTTCACAAAACTTAATGAATTTTGTATGTTGTTCCTAATGCAGTTGTAGTATTCTAGTTTTTAGCTAAAATTATTATATTTGTTGAAGTACTCTTTCTTACGCTTACTTTACATTAAAAATACTACTACACATAAAAAATACAACCTTTGGTATATTTAAAGATAACCCAAGTATTGTTTAAATATCTAAAATTTTGAAAGAACCTGAAGAGGTTGGGCAGAACATTTTACACAGGACTATGAAGCCAATCACAGCTTACCTAAAGTACTTTCTCTTTAATCATTAATCAGATATTTTATTAGCAACCAGTCCAATGAAATAGTTATACTAAACAAGTAACAATGGTATGTCCTGGGTATTATTATTATTGCTGGTAATGATAATAATAAATTTATTAGAACATTTGTCATTAGTCACACGTGAACCTACATTACCATAAAACAAAAAGAAAAGAAGACTTATTTTTAGTGGTAAATTTGTTATTAAAAGTGTTACATAACTGACTTTTACTGGTCAAGATAGCCACCCAAACTGGTCAAAGTGGAATGAATCTTTCCTCCCTGCCTTAAATGAATGCAATAAATGGAAAAGCATATATTTACACAACAAAAAATTAAAAACAAAATTTACGTGTATTCTCTTCATGGATAGCTCTTAATATGTATAGCATTTAAAGATTTATATGAATGTTTCTTATTCCTAGCTTTGGGGAAAACTCGTGTTACAGGAAACGAGTTTTCTCCAGTACTACCCTGCCACTTTTTTCAAACTTAATTTATTATAAAAACATAATAAAAAATATTATAGAACACTGGAAGTCCACTATTTTGCTTGGGATTCAGTTAGGCCTTTTCAGTAATTAGGACTACGTTTTAGTACTAGTTTATACTAGACTAAAACTAAAAGTAAAGAGCAAATCTAACCAATAAACTACATTTAAATTTTTACTTTTACAAAGCCTTTAGGCTTAGGTTAACACTAATACTATGGGAGGTTGACATTACTTTCCATTCCTTTGAGGTCTTGTGCAAACACAGTGGAATTTTCCGCCAAAGTCTATATATAAATCATCTTTGAGAACATGGAAAATTTTTCCAATTACAATTTTTCCTTCAGGATCACCTAACTGTATTAATTTTGAATTCCTTAGTAAAGTCGCAAAAGAATGATGGCATTGTTCCGTGTCTTCACTTTCAGTTCCAAGGCCCTGGAACTTTTCAAATGCTTTAGCAAATCCGCTTCTCTTTAAATTTGTATCAACCTTGACTTCTGTTGTTTCCTCGCCTTTATCAATACCTGCAGAATATCTCCTCCATGCTGTTAATAACGTGTTTCTACTTACTACACGAAAACAAGCCACGCCACTTCTCGTCAGTACCATACCGCTTAACTTACACCTAGTTGAATCAAAGCGAAAGGCCTCAGTAATGTTCAGCTTGTCCTCTGCGCATGGGCATAATCCTGTAACAAATCACAATAGAGCTAAGAGTGTTTGGGGATTGTTATTAAATTAAGCGCAGGAATTGCTAAATGTTCACCCTTTACTGCATTTCCAGACTTATAGAGTAGGGCTTTTTCAATGCGATAAGAGGTGCATGTTCGTTCTTGACAAATGTTCTAATTTTGAAGTAATGGGCTATTCTAATCGAATGATTGGAATTTTTTTTTTGGGGGCGATAACGGGGCGCGAATCGTGCATCCAGATTTTGGCACGCCAACTGTGGGAAACACGTTTTGGAGAATCCACAAAGTTTGCTTTCAGTGCCTCTTTGAATGTTCAGTTCACTGACATACATTTTTCAAACAAATAGTTTTGTAAAACTAAATCAGCAAAATCTTCTTTCCCTAAAAATATTAATATAACCCTTATGAACATATACACACGCATTGTATAGCTTTTTGCTTAATTACAAACAAACAAACAAAAATTTTAAAATACTTGTTCTCTCCCCTAAATAGCTAACCATTTAGCTTTTGCTAAAAGTTATTTAATTTTATTATTCGTATTCATATTTTATCTTTATAATATAAAAGTATTTTTGCAAATCACTGCACTTTATCTTTGAAAGTAAAAACAGAGGAACTCATCTCCATCAGTACTAGCTACTGGGGTGATGTATTGGTGTAACAAGAGTTAGATCATTTTATTCTTTAATATGGCAAATAACGTTTAATGTACCTGAACATGTTTACCCTATGATACTGCACTTCCAGCCTGATAGACTAGAACTATTTCAAGACGATAATAGCTGCCGATTCATCCTTGACAGAGCTTTATATTTCTAAGCTGGTGATAGGAATTACAGTCATCCTTTAGCATGGGTCCCCATTGGCACAGCGGTATGTCTGCGGAATTACAACGCTAAAAACCGGGTTTCGATACCTGTAGTGGGCAGAGCACAGATAGCCCATTGTGTAGCTTTATGCTTAACTTCAAACAATATAACAAACCCTTAGCGTGGATGATAAGGTGCTGCTAACTGACTACTTTCTCTCTGGCAAGTAGTTAGCTTTGCAATAACTACAAATATTTAAAGACAATAATGTAGATTCATCATGCTCGTATTGTTAAAAAGACGGTTTGAATAAAACGACAATAACTTCAATAAATTTCTTTAGCTGCAGCAATCATTGGAACTTAATCAAAGTGGATGTCTTTGGAACGTACTTGAATATCACATTCGTCACTGTAATTTTGTGTCTATATCTTTGAACTATTTATAAACCATATTCCTAAACAAATTGGCTACAATCAAACAAAACAACTTAATTCCAACATTTTACTGAGCTATTTCATTATGGAAGGTGTTTCAGTTTTGGATTAGACAGGTATTTTAATAAAGTGTATGCACTTATTTTTCAAAAACAGCATGGTAATTGAATTATTAACATTTTTCAAATGGAAGCCCACAGTGGCATAGTAGTATGTCTGTAAACTTATACCTCTAGAAACCGAGTTTTGATACCCGTGGTGGGCAGAGCAGGATAGCCTTTTGTGTAGCTTTGTACTTAATAACAAACAACAACAATCCAAGTAGAAAAATTACAGTCCTTTTTAATTATGTGATGTTATTAGGTACATTAATATCCATTTAGAGAATTGGGTAGGATCTGCAGAAGAACAGAAAATTCAGTAAGGAAATATATCACAAAGTAAAGAAAAATTTCCTGACTTAAGACAGACAGTCTGGACACAGTGTACAACAGAATGAAACAATCTTTATTCAAACTCAAGCACAATCAAAAGACAAAAAGAATATACTTCAAAGGATGTGATTATAAATGTCCCAGTAATTATTGGCCCATTAGTCTTACATCAGTTGTAGAAAACGTTTTGAAAAGCTTGATAAAAGATGCTTTGCAAAGTCTTTTAACAAAGTTTAGGATTTTATTGAATATTCAACATGGTTTCACTAAGGGAAAATCTTGCCTTACAAATCTTTTGATATACTTTGAAAAGGTTACTGCTTATGAAATTAAATTAAGTGTGTAGGTTTAGTGTATCTGGATTTTCAGAAAGCATATGACAATGTGCCACATAAAAGGCTTGTAAAAAATTAAACCTGTAGGTGTGGGCGATAAGTTTGCTAATTGGATAGAAGAATGGCTGGATGGAAGAAAGCAGATACTCGTTGTAAATGGAGTTAAGTCAAACTGGATTAATGTTATGTGTGGGGTACCTTAGGGCTCGGTCTTTGCTCTTTTTAATTTACATCAATAACGCAGATGAAGGAATGGTCAATAAATTAATTAAATTTGCTGATGATATTCAATTTTTGGGTGTTGCTGCTTTAAAAAAGGATTTAGATCATTTAGTGGATAATCTCTGTTTGTTTGCTTGCTTGCTTGTTTGTTTATCCGCCGCTTTCATTGCGCAGGTCACATGTGAAGGTGCGTAAAACGACAATTTTTCGTTGACAAAAGCGTCTATCGTTTGCTTGCCGAACCAGTAATTTTATTGTTAACATATACATTACACGAATAAATTCTGAGCAGACTTAACATGTTTTGATAAGTTAAAGTTAACATTTAATTTAGGATATAGCATTACAGGCCTATTTAGTTATACATACAAGAATGTATGAAGAATTAGAATGTAGTGTGTGAAAAATCAAACAGTAACCCTATAAAATTATGCCGTCTGCCATAAAATAGACTACGTGAAAAGAGTAAGGCTTACATTATAATACTTAATGTGTAAAATGAAATTAAAGACAAGTCAGCAAAGTATTTTATTATACTTTTTCTTCCTCTCTCTGAATAGTTTGTACCTGGAAGTAGATTTTTTTTTCTTGATACATTATAAAGTACAATACTGAATTTTGTTTGTAGTATATTTCATACATCAATGTCATAATGTGAAAATGGTATCACATTCATAAAAATATATTAAGTGTACATTAAAAAAAATTCAACATAACATTACATACATATTTATGTTTAAAATTGTAATATTTGAGGAGGGATAGGGGGAATGGAGCTAGGCTTATCCTGTTCGCAAGAATAGTTACTCATAGGTGTATAGGATAATCTAAATATTTGTTGCGTCATCGAGGTCACGTGACTGGTGTGGCGCCCTCTATTTTCTAGAACTATCTTGTTTTTTCATGAATGCTCTAGTATTTACTAGTAGGGTAGGCTGGTATATATATAAGATGGGGAAAACGTGACGCGGGAAGGTAATGTAATGTGTGTGTAGATAGGTAGTGAGTAATTGAACTGCAGTCACAGGTTATCGTTGAAGTTAACGTTCGTTCGTTCGTTACAGTGTTGTTTTA